GATGGCCCGGGGGGGCCGGGTTCACCCCACGTGCCCGGGTGGGACTTGGGGGGCCGGGTCCAGGACAGACCCACGTGTCCAGGTCCACGTAGGACCCACGTGGCCTGGGCCAGCCCACGTATCCGGGTGTCCCCGTGGGACCCGCGTGTCCACGTCTGACCCACGCGTCCAGGTAGGACCCACACGTCTGGGTCCGACCCCCGTGTCCAGGTCCAGGTAGGACCGATGGGTCCAGGTCCAACCCAGGTAGGATCCAGGGCACCAGGTCCAACCCCCATGTCTGGGTCCAACCCACGTGTCCAGGTCCAGGTAGGACTGATGGGTCCAGGTCCAACCCACGCGTCCAGGTAGGACCCACATAATCCAGGTAGGACCCAGGTCTCTGGGTCCAACCTGTGTCTCTAGGTCCAGGTAGGACCCACACGTCCAGGTAGGACCCACGTGTCAGGGTCCAACCCACGTGTCCAGGTAGGACCCAGGTCTCCAGGTAGGACCCATGTGTCTGGGTCCAGGTAGGACCCAGGTCTCCAAGTCCAGCCCACATGTCCAGGTTCAGGTAGGACCCACACGTCCAGCTCCAACCTACACACCCAGGTAGGACCCACGCGTCCGGGTCCAGCTAGGACCCAAGTCTCCAAGTCCAACTGACATGTCCAGGTCCAACCCACACGTTTGGGTCCAGATAGGACCCATGTGTCTACGTCTGACCCACGTGTCTGGGCCCGGTTGGTGGCACCTCCTCCCTCCCTCTGCCCCCTCTCGAGCAGGATCCTGCTGACGGTGGTGGTCATCTTCCGCATCCTGATCGTGGCCATCGTGGGAGAGACGGTGTACGAGGACGAGCAGACCATGTTCATGTGCAACACGCTGCAGCCGGGCTGCAACCAGGCGTGCTACGACAAGGCCTTCCCCATCTCCCACATTCGCTACTGGGTGCTCCAGTTCCTCTTTGTCAGCACCCCAACCCTAATTTACCTCGGCCACGTTGTCTATCTCTCCCGGAAGGAGGAGAAGCTGAAACAACAGGAGAGCGAGCTTCGGGCCATCCACAGCAAGGACCCAAAGATTGAGCAGGCCCTGGCAGCCGTGGAGAAGAAGATGTCCAAGATCTACATGACAGAGGATGGGCGGCTCAAGATTCGAGGGGCACTGATGTGGACGTACATCATCAGTGTGATCTGCAAGAGCATCTTTGAGGCTGGCTTCCTTGTTGGCCAGTGGTACCTGTACGGCTTCTCCATGGTGCCCCGCTACGTGTGCAAGAGGGACCCCTGCCCCCATCAGGTGGACTGCTTCATCTCCCGCCCCACTGAGAAGACCATCTTCATCATCTTCATGCTGGTGATGGGCCTGATCTCCTTAAC